ATATAAAGTACCTAGTGCAGTGCCTGGCACAATGGGAGGGGCTGATAATTTGCCCCCTTGGCCAAGAAGTGGTTAACTGAACACATGATTTAAAATCAATTCCATAAAAATATAATAAGCTTTTCACAAGTCAAGTTTTTGTCGAGTTGCTTCTGGTGAAGCCAGAATCAGTCTATCTTGTGATTGTCCAGAAAAGAAACACCAGAAGCTGCGTGTGTAATGTCACCCAATGAACACAAGAGGCCGCCAAAACAGACACCGTGCCAAAGTTTTACACGACTCCAGCTGTGTGTCCCCATCCTGTTCTTTCTTGGACACCAAGCATTCATTTAATAGGCACTCAAGTGCCCCAATTAGGAAAACCAGGTCGTTATTGTAAAGTAGTATCTGCCACACACCAAAATAAATTCTTTATGGATAACAGCAGTAAGTGTAAAAAAATGAATCTATAAAAACTAAAAAAAGTTAATGGTTGTCTTGTTTGGGAGTGGTGAAGAAATTTCAAAGCACAAAAGGAGAAGAAAGGAAAATACAGATAGATGTGCCTATATGAAAAGAAAATTATATGCATAAAAAATCCATAGACACAATAAAAAGGAGATGATACCCTGAAACTATTTTGCAGGAAGTGTGAGAAAGTAAAGTTAATGCACTTAGCATAAAATAAGACATGTAGCTTAATAAAAATAAATTGGCTTGAGCATATAATTCCCAAAAGAAGAAAAAGAGGCCTTAACATATGCACTAAGAATGAAGTCAGTACAAATAAATACTACAATGAGATTCCATGACCTGACTACCAATTAAAACAAATCTCTTGACAAAGAGAATTTAAAAAGTAATACTAATTGGGGCCCCTGGATGGCTCAGTCGATTAAGCATCTGACTCTTGATTTCAGCTCAGGCCAAAACCTGAGCTTGGATTTTCTCAGTCTCTCAATCTCTTGGTCTCACCCTCCCCAAATAAAATAAAACTTAAAAAAAAAAAACAAACCTTAAAAAATTGGTATTGGTGAAGGCATTTGTGAAATGGGTACAAATGGGAATGAGTTTTTTTGGAGGATGATTTTTCAATATTTATTTATAGCCTTAAAGTTATTAACATCTGAAGATTCCATAACTATATTTCTAGGGATTTACTTCAGGGAGATCATTAAAAAGATGCATAAAGACTCACATCAAAGAAGCTCAGTTCCATGTTTTGCTTTGGAAAATAGGAAACACTTCAATATCTAGCAATATGGAAACGGAATTTCTGACTTTCATACTATTTAATAATCCACATCTTTATGAGCATTTTCTCATGAAGGACAATATTTGGTATTCAAATCAATTTTTACTGTATGATTTCGATTTTGTAAAAATAGGTGTCAGGATGAAATGCTAGAGTATCCATTGGTCTTCATTCTGGAGTTTCTTTCACTGCTACTCTTTTCTCATGACTTGGGCATCAGTGGGGTGTTTCTATAGTCACTGCCCCCAGGGTAGGGTTATTACTGTAGAAATGTGGAGTGAATGAGTCAAGTCACTGCTCTGCATGTGCAGTAGACTTCTGTGCTGGAGGAGAGTGGGTGGTCAGACAGAGAGGGCCTTGCACCCACCTGGATGGAGGATGGAAGAATGTAGAATTTGTGGAGAATGGAGAGAAAAATCTCTCAGCTGGTGCCATCAGAAGGAGCATGGTGGCCAAGAATAAGAGAGAGCCACGTGCTTTTCAGTGGATGCCCATGGTGCATCCTTTATGCTACAATACTCTCTTAAATCTACGATACTGTCCAAGCCCCACAAAACTCAGATGCTATTTCCAGATGAAGGTTGGGGAGGGAGAAATTTTGAATGATTTCTGAGTTTATACAGAACTGACTTTTCTTCGCCCTCAGTTAGAATGAAAGTTGAAAATAGGTTTAGGCAGCCTAAGAGAAAGGTAGTTATGTAATTTTAACATACCTTGGAATATGGATTTAGAAATTTGTACCTGATATATATATGGTTACACATATATATGTGTATATATAGCTACCTGTATTCATATCAATATTTATAAGCAAATCTTTAGAAAAAGTGCTAAAAAAGGAAACTGGAAAATTAGCAGATTATCTTTGTTGTGGGGTTATGGAGGATTTTTATTTTCTTGCTTTTAATTTTTTGTATTTTCCAGAAATTCCGCAATAAGCAGGTGTGAAATTCATAATGTAAACATTATTGTTTTTATTATTATTTTATTATTATTTAAATACAGCATCAAAGGCTAATGACAATCTGGAAAAAATATTTATAAATCATAATACAGACCAAGCTTTTGTTTTCTATTTCACAAAGCAGTCCTATCAATGAAGCAAAGCACTTAAGCATATAAAATATTGCTTAATTTCACTCATGATAATAGAAAAGCAACTTAATACGACTGCCAGATCCTATCTTTCTTCTATCATATTGGCAAGATCACAAACTTTGATTACACGTTGTGTTGGTGAAAGTTTGAGGAGACAGGTCCTCTCACACACTGATGGGTGTGTAAGTCATACAGCCTTTATGAAGGATGATTTGGCAATAACCTGCAAAATTACAAATGAAAAAACTCAAGGATCCGGCAATTTCTCTTCCAAGAGTTTATGGGATGGATATAGCAAGATATGTGTAAGTACACAGTTACATAAGGTAAAATATTTAAAAGTAAAGCTTATAATATCCAGATATTGGAAATAATAAAAACAAATGTCTTTCCATAGAGAATCGGTTAAATAAATTATCAGTACAATAGAACACTATGAAGAATGTGTTTATGTACTGAAATGGAATGAGCTCTAAGATATCTTGTGAAGAGGGAAAAAAAAAGAGTTAAAACCAGTGTGTATTCTATGCTATTACACCTGCTATCATGTATAATGAACAAAAATATATCTATATCTATCTATCCATTTTTCTTGTATATAAATAATACAATAGCTAATGTTTATCAAATAATATGTGGCCAATACTCTGCTCTGAGTGCTTTATATAACTCAGCTAATCTTCAAAATAGCCTATGAGATTGGCACTGTTATTATCATAATTTCCATTTTATAGATGAGGAAATTCAGGCGTGGAGGGGTTAAGTAAGGCTGGGAAAAGACGGGAGAGCGGGCGAGAGGCCAGAGAACTGATCAGTGGACACAGGAAGAGGAGAGACTTTGCACTGCTTACCTTTTGGTGCCCTTCTCACGTGAACACATCGCCTATTATTAAAAAGAATGAAAAGCACGTGTCTGTTGTGAACATCACTGTATTACACTTGCCCAGAGGTGTCTGTCTGTGGATGTGGACACCATGGAAGGAACACTGGACCAGGAAACAGAACATTAGGGCTGCCCCACTCCATCATTAATGTGTCCTCTCTGGGCCTTTGTATCAGCTTCTACAAAAAAGAAGTGCTTTGGGGCGATGGTCATGGTGGCATTAAATTACATCAGTGTTTCCTAACGTATTTGAGAATTTGGGTCATCTGGGAAGCTTTAAAATATATAGCTTCTCAAGCTCCCATGAGCACATATTCTGATTTAACAGGTCTAGGGTACAGGTTGGAGGTCTGCATTTTTCAAAAGCCTCCGTCCTAGGCAACTCTGACATAAAATCAGGTTTAAAAGGAGGCTAGTCTTCCTCCCGGTTCTAAATTTCCACATCCTGTGAAGTACTGAGTGTTCTATCAGATCCGAGCAACCCACTATCTGGCTCTACCCTTCTCAGTCTAGTTCATCTTGGAGGCTGTCTTACCTCCATGCCCATCTAAAAAGAAAAGGCAATTAAAATGGCGGAACTCTGTCTCTTGATCCAGACCTTGCACGCCCCCTGACGCCTTCCAGCCCCACCTCCCATTCAGCCCCCTTCTCTGGGTGCTGCCTTCCAAAGGTGGAGACTCTGGTCTCCGGAACTGCCATCGCCATTCCAAGAGTATGACAAGGTACCAAACCCAACATGGAGATAGGAATTTTGACCCATCACAGAATTTACACACAGACCTGAATCCTCTATGGATTCTAGCCTCTTTCCAAAGGCATTTTATTCCCTGCGATGGTATTCTGGGTGTTTTGTATGCTAATACTTCTTACGGCCAGATGGTCTATAAAGTTGGAGCTCTTAAAAGCAGCGCATAGCATTCCCATTTTAGTGTGATGTTTTGGATAGTCGATGATCTTCTGACCTTTTTCTTCCCTTCCTTCCCCTCCCCCGGCCCCATTTCCTTCCATCAAAGAAAGGGTTCTGATCACTGCTCTTCCAGTCCACTTAGAGAGGTGTATGAGCAGTCAGTTCACCTCGAGGCCCAGGGATAACGTGGCTACCACCTCCTGCAGTTTTATGATGAGTCTCTTTCCATTGCACAAGGCAGTTATTAGTCATGACTGATGCCCACTGACCAAGCCCAAACAAATGTGTGGCACACTCCACATACCACACACAGTCACAAATGTTTGCTTTGCTCCCATGGCCCGAACGAGGATGCCATGTCCACCTCGGAGGAGCCACAGGGCCGGACCTCGTATAGCAGCCACTCTGCCTGCAGCAGGAGGCACAGGGCCCCCAGCTTTTGCCCGGCTGGTTTTCCAGGATGGGCACCCACGATTAAAGGGGTTGGCTGCCAGCTTGCCACCCGAGGACATGTGGAAGGGGAGCACCCATTCCAGAGCCAGAGGCCGAGGCTCCCTCCGACCTGGGCTAATGACGGCTGGCCCGTGTTTGGGTGTGATGACAGGTCTTTCCGAAGATGCATTTTTACCCTCTGGACAAATAGCAGTTGGGCCGAGTGGGCCTTTTTTATGAGTTGAGGTACTCGGGGCTGGAAAATAAACAGGCAGCTAATGAGACGTTCTTATGGAAACTGGCATAAATAATAACAAAGGAAACTTCCTGTCCCCCGTGCCAACACCCTCCGGTGAGGGGCTATAAAAGCTGCTGGCCGCTGGCCACCCATTAGACGTGGGGAACTCCGGCTGCGCTCCCGACCTGCCACCTGACCAGCCGGGACCATGGGGTGCTGCCCAGGGGACTGCTTCACCTGCTGCCCTCAAGAACAAGACTGCTGTGAAGTGTGCTGCTGCCAGCCCGCCTGCTGCGGCTGCTGCGGATCCTGCTGCGGCTGCTGCGGGTCCTGCTGCGGCTGCGGGGGCTCGGGCTGCGGGGGCTCGGGCTGCGGAGGCTGCGGGAACGGCTGCTGCGGGGGCGGCTGCTGCGGAGGCGGCTGCGGGGGCTGCGGGGGCTGCGGGTCCAGCTGCTGCGGGTCCAGCTGCTGCGGTTCCTCCGGATGCTGCGGCCCGGTCTGCTGCCAGCCCACGCCTGTTTGCGACACGAAGTGAAGCCCCCTGTCCTCTGCGCGGAGGTGACCCAAGCAAAGCCTCCACCTGCTGCTGGTGGAGACCCCTCGTCTCCGGGACCTTCCCTGCATCCAAGACAGCACCCTGCCTCCGTGTTACTGGTAGACGAGGGCTTGTTCTCTGGCGCCTGCCCTGGTGTTTCAAGGCCCTGAGCACAAGAGCCATATACTGGTGAGAGTTGGAAACTGGGTCCCGTCCAAAGCGATACTGAAGCTCACAGGGTGAACCCCCATGGCTTTTTTTTCATGGACCCAAATGTCTTGTCACTATAAGGCATCCTCTGACTCACGGTGGCTTTGGGACTGACCCTTCTCCTTGGCTTTCTGCTCCTTTTGAGTGTGAAGATTTCTCTTTGTTACCTTCTTAATAAATTCGAGCTTGTTGGCATAACCGAATTAGTTCTCCCGCCTCTTCCTTGGCTCCCTCTTGGGCACTGAGCCAGGAAAATTTACTCTGGCATCCACAGTCGGGGTTTTGAAATGTGGTTTTTGGACCACTTGCATCAGAATCACCTAGTTAAAATGGTGATTTTTAACTCTGCCAAGACAGGCAGAGTCAGAATCCACAGGGGAGTGGCCTGGCCATCTGTTTTTTTAACAAGAACCCCAGGTGTACACTAAAACTTCCATGTGCTGCATGAGATTTCACTTGGGGAGGCTTTTAAAAATACAGATTCTTAGGCTTCATCATTAGAGAGATCTTATCCATTAGCTATAGGGAGGTGACCCCAGCCAGTATTTGCATTTTTAAAATAGAGTAAATGGGTAAATGCTACGGTTGGTCAAGGTTTACTCTTGAGCAAGGGGCATGGCTTCCTTCAGCATTATGGCTCTCCTAGAGTGGTTCTGCAGGAAGGCTTCAGGTTTGGTCAGAACTTTCTGGCAAAGTCAGGGGAAGAGGTTTTGGTGAAACAAGCTTGATTTGGAATGAAAGAGTTTCTCGTGGCAAAACTTTGTGACCACGGTGCCCATGGATGTTCTGGGAATTCCAGTTCTTTCTTCTAGCCAAGTGCTTCGGCAAAGTCTGCTCTTCTGGGTTAGGTTTTCCTGTCCTGAAACCAGCTGTCTTTCTTCTGCTTGAGTCCCAGGGCTGAGAGGGGTGAATGTACATCTGCCAGGTGGGGCCCGAGCCAGGTGTGTGTGGGTCCAGCTTGAAGGTTAAAATTCAAAAAATAGTTGATTCAATTTTTTGCTGAACATGATCTATTAATTATTATTATTATTATTTTTTATTTTAGAGAGAGAGAGAATGCGCGAGTGCAAGCAGGGGAGGGGCAGAGAGGCGTAGACAGAAACCCGAAGCAGGCTCCAGGCTCCGAGCTGTCAGCACAGAGCCAGATGCGGGGCTTGAACTCATAAGCAGTGAGATTGTGACCAGAGTCGAAGTCAGATGCTTAACTCACTGAACCACCCAGGCATCCCTTTTGCTGCACGTGATCTTAAGCTACATGTGGACTAAAGCTAATTCCGCCCTTGCCTTGGGAGAACAATATTTATTTTTATTCCTGCAAAGCAATGTTTCATTCAAAACACAAGCAAAAAAATATTTAAAAAAAATTTAAGTTAGTTAACATACAGTGTTGTTTTGGGTTCAGGATTAGAACCCAGTGATTCATCTCTTATATATGACACCCAGTGTTCATCTCGAAAAGTGTCCTCCTTAATGTGCATCACCCATTTAACCCATCCTTCACCCACCACCCCTCCAGCAACCCCCAGTTTGTTCCCTGTGTTTAAGATAAGCATGCCAAGGAACTCTAAAAATATGAAAAATACAGAAAAATCTGAAGAAGAAATAATAGCCACCTGGATTCTCAACTTCAGCATTTATCACTGACATATATGTTTCCAGACTCCTTTTAAGCATATTTATAAATAAAACTGGGATTATGCTATTTTTACTTCTTTTGTCTTTAAAAATTTTTGTTTTGTATAGGTCAACTTTATTAAGGCATAATTTATATATAATAAAGTACACCTAATTATAGTGTACAGTTTGATGAGATTTGCCAATTGTATATACTCAAGTAACCACCACTGCACTCAAGAGATAGAACTTTCCATCGTCTCTCAAATTCTCTAGTGCCTCATTTGCAGGAAATCCTCCCCACCCCTGACCATCAGGCAACCATCCGTCTTTATGTCAGTATATGTCAGAAATTTTGCCATTTCTAGAATCTCATATAAATGAAATCATGCAGTGTGAACTCTTCCACTTAGAATAACATTGTTTATATACATCCTTACTGCAGATGTCAAAGTTAATTCCTATTTGTTAAGTAGTATTACACTGCATGAATAAAGGACATGAAAAAATGTTCATCTACGGATGGGAATTTGGGTTGTCTTCAGTTTTTGGCTATTATGAATAAAGCTGCTATGAACATTCATGTATAAATTTTTTGTGGACACCTGTTTTCATTTATTTTAGATAAATACCTAGGTGTTGGATGGCTGGATAAATAGTATGGGGATGTTTAATTTCACAAAAAAAAACAAAAAACAAAAAACAAAAAAAACAAAAAAAAACTACCCAACTGTTCTGCAACCGTTTTGCCACACCATTTTGTATTCCCACCAGCAATGTCTGGGAGTTCTAGTTGCTCCATATCCTTGGTAATGCTCAATAAGGTACAGCTTTTTATTTTTAGCCATTCTAGAAGCTATATAGTGGTAGCTCATTGTGTTTTCATTTTTTTGTTTGTTTGTTTCATTTAAAAGTCCGGAAGTATTAGTACTGTTTTACTTGGGAGAGAATTCAAAATTTGAGTCTGCCCTGGTTCAGTTTCAGACTCCACTATTCAGGTCATTTTGGCTCTGGTTGGAATTGGCCTCCTAAGAACTAGCTCTTTAATTCCTAGGACAAAACCACAGCCAGAGCATGAGCATGCCGATAGGGCAAAATTGTCAAGAGGATAACAAGTCTGCATTGAGTAAATATGATTCAGAGCAACTGATTCTTCTATTGCTTGTGATCATGGTCTCCTGGATGGGTGAGAGCAGGGTAGTGATTTCTTTGAATTACTGACAAAAAATGGAGCACCTGGGTGGCTCAGTCGGTTAAGCGTATGACTTTTGGCTCAGTTCATGATCTTGTGGTCCATGGATTCAAGTCTCACGTTGGGCTCTGTGCTGACAGCTCAGAGCCTCAAGCCTGTTTCAGATTCTGTGTCTCTCTCTGTCTCTGTTCCTCCTGTGCTTGTGCTCTTTCTCTCTCTCTCAAAAATAAAGATTTAAAAATTTTTGAATTACTGACAAATCACTGCCTTTCTCAGCTGTCCACAGAGGTCCTCAATCATTTATCAGTAAATATTAATTGTGAACTACCTATGTATCAAACATTGCTCTGGGTGCTGGGTATATATCAGTGAATACACAGAATCCTTGTCCTTATGGTACTTATATAATGTCAAGGGAGACAAAAGCTATAAGAATAAAGTAGAGGGGCACCTGAGTGGCTCAGTTGGTTGAGCTTCTGACTTTGGCTCAGGTCATGATCTCATGGTTTGCGAGTTCAAGCCCTGCATCAGGCTCTCTGCTCTCAGCACAGAGCCAGTTTTGGATCCTCTGTCCCCCTGTCTATCTGCCCCTCCCCTCTCTCTGCTCATTCATGCACTCTCTCTGAAAAATAAATAAATAAACTTAAAATAAAAGAATAAAGTAGAAATGTGCTAGATTGTTAAAAGATCTGCTCATTCCACTTAGCAGGGAAGGATTCTTTGGGAGGACATCCTGCCATAACAGGGATAAGTTTTTCAGCTGAGAGAGTTTATGAGGGACTTGTGGGAGGAAGGCCATCTCCATGTGAATTGCATTGCTGGCTTAGCTGAGGAAGAGGATGTGCATAGAGACAAACTGGAAAGGTGGAGATCAGGATCTTGGGGGCTCCTTCTCGACCTTACCCTCTGCAAGACTGTTGTCCAAAAGTCTTCTTTTCCAACTGTTTGAGAACTACAGCTCAAGGATGACACTCCTTGTTCCTAATCTTCCACTAGACCCTATAGATTCTGCCTCTGTAAAACCTCTCATATTGCTCCAGTTCCATGGCACTGCCCATTTCAGGTTGTCACTAGGAAGCTTTTGAGTAACTGCCCCAGACCCCTGATGGTCTCTCTGACTCCATACTTGCCCTCCTTATCCTATCTCTTTGCTACAGCCAGAGATGCCTTTCCAAAGGGCAAACTTGGTCAAGTTATGCCCCTGTTTAAAACACCCCAGTGTCAGTATAAAATCCAACTACTTGTTGTGGTCCACAAGGCCTTTCATGGTTGAGTGCCTAGTAACCCTTTTAGTCCCATTGCTTTTCCTTCCTGTCCCCTGAATCTTTCATCCTGCCTATGGAACCATTTACTGCTGGTTCATGATACATCAAATGTATCATGCTTTGATCAGCCTTGTCTAATTTCCCACAAACAATGTTGGTGTGTTGGTGTTTCTCCTGGGTGCCCCCCATAGGACCCAGTGAAGCCATCTGTCATAGCACTTGTACATATACTGTACCATGATTGCTATGGATGGATCTGTCTCTCTCCTAAACCCAGATTCCTCGAGGCAGGAATTGCAATTTGTTTTTTTGTAGTCCTCTCACAGAGCCTGATGATGGCTGAATCAAACAGATGAATAAAAGAGAGATTGAGTGACTGATTGCATAAATTAATGAATGAAGGGAGAGATGATGAATGGATGGCACAATTGTTCAGCTGTTCTAAAGGGCAGCCTGGATTTTGCATTGATGTTGAAAGCACATTTTGAAGCTGGGCCTTTACTGAGCAAGGATGTCAGGCCTCAGTGTTAAGAAACCTAGGATTCATGGGGTACTTGGTGGCTTAGTCAGTTAAGCATCTGACTCTTGATTTCAGCTCAGGTCATGAGATCAAGCCCTGCTTGGGATTCTCTCTCTCTTCCTCTCTCTCTGCCCCTCCCCTGATTATTCTCTCTCTCTCTTTCTCTCTCTCTCAAAATACATAAATAAACATTGAAAAAGAAACCTAGGGTTTGTTTCTCATTTCATGTCTGTCTCAAGTAGTAGCATTGACACACTTTGAGAAAGCACCTGTATTCTTTGCTTTTGTTCACAACGTCTTTGCAAAAGATCTCTTGCCTTTCCTCTTTATCCTTTGGGTCTTGGAAGTGTCTTTCTTTTAGGAGCTATTAAATCACCAAAAGCAAGAGAGATTCTTGAGGCTCCTGAATGCTTGAGGTATGAGTGGGTGGGAGAAAAAGAGGGAGGAGAAACAGAGAGGCCAGATCAAGTGCTTTCTGGAGACAGGTAGAGTCAGTGGTCTGGGACAGGGCTTTTCATAGAATAGGATGGAGGACAGCACAGTTGGCTGAACCTATCACATGTGGCTTTGACACCGTCTCCTGAGAAAGGTCAGACCAGACAGAATGGTGAGGAGGAAGGAAGGAGAGCAGCCCTAGATTAGGGGGCAAACTGAGTGGGATCTTTAGCAAGTGACTTAAACTTTCTAATTTCAACCACCTTTCCTTTTCTTTACCTATAATGGACGAAGACAAATTCTTATCTTGGGGGATTGCTGATGATTTTAAATAAAATCATTTCTGCAAAGCACAGTCATTTAAAATCCAGACCAGATATCCTCCCTCCCACAGAGTTCACCACTGCTCCCCTCTACTAATCCCTGTATGTCTATTGTTGACCTTACCATGGCACTGCAATGAGTTTGCCTGTATGCTTGTCTGCCCACTAGAGAATGAGATATGTGGGGAGGGGTGAGTAGATCCAATTCATGTGGACATCACTGTGGCCTCCCTCTCACCATTGTTTGGTACTAGAAGATGGATAAATTATAAGTTCCTTTCTTCTTCCTCTGTTCCTGATGCTCAGAAACACAGATTATTCAGTTTGAAGGCAATGATGCTTATTCCAAGATGACCTGTTGCTCTGAGGATTCCAAATTTAGCAAGTCAATAAACAAATATCTTTTTTATGGGTAGATAAACAACTTCCAGATCAACAAACCTTGGCATAATAAGATGTTCCCCTGAAAACTGGCCCAAACAGCAATGAGGAAAAGATGCAGGGGCTCCAAACAGCACATGCCAGTGAGGGGGTATAAAAGGAAGGCCTCAGAGAGCTGTCCTAGTCAGGCAGCACCCCTCTCAGCACTCACAAGGAAGCAGAGGCACCACCACCATGTCTGGAAACTGCTGTTCTAGGAAATGCCCATCCGTGCCAGGCATCTCTCTCTGCTCCACTGAGGTGACCTGCGGAGGGCCTGTCTGCTTGCCCAGTTCCTGCCGGAGCCAGACATGGCAACTGGTGACTTGCCAAGATAGCTGTGGATCATCTAGCTGTGGCCCACAATGCTGTGAGCCCTCCTGTTCTGTGAGCAGCTGTGCCCAGCCTGTGTGCTGTGAGGCCACCATTTGTGAGCCTTCTTGTGTTGTGAGCAGCTGTGCCCAGGCTGTGTGCTGTGAGGCCACCATTTGTGAGCCTGCCTGTTCCGTGAGCAGCTGTGCCCAGCCTGTGTGCTGTGAGGCCACCATTTGTGAGCCTGCCTGTTCCGTGAGCAGCTGTGCCCAGCCTGTGTGCTGTGAGGCCNNNTGCTGTGAGGCCACCATTTGTGAGCCTGCCTGTTCCGTGAGCAGCTGTGCCCAGCCTGTGTGCTGTGAGGCCACCATTTGTGAGCCTGCCTGTTCCGTGAGTAGCTGTGCCCAGCCTGTGTGCTGTGAGGCCACCATTTGTGAGCCTGCCTGTTCCGTGAGTAGCTGTGCCCAGCCTGTGTGCTGTGAGGCCACCATTTGTGAGCCTTCTTGCTCAGTGAGCAGTTGCTGCCAACCTGTGTGCTGTGAAGCCCCTTCCTGCCAGTCGGTCCTTTGTGTACCCACTCCCTGCCAGTCCATCATCTGTGAGCCCAGCTGCTGCCAGCCAGTCATCTGTGAACCCAGTTGCTGTTCAGCTGTCTGCACTGTGCCTAGTTCCTGCCAGCCAGTGGTCTGTGAGCCTGTCTGTCAGCCAGTCTGCCCCACGCCTAGCTGCTGTCCATCTGTCTGCTCTGTGGCTAATAGCTGCCAGGCTGTCTGCTGTGACTCCAGTCCTTGTGAGCCACCTTGCTCAGAGCCCGGCAATTGCCAGCCAGCTCCCTGTGTGGCTCTGGTCTGTGAGCCTGTCTGCCTTCGCCCTGTGTGCTGTGTTCCAAGCCCTTGCGAGCCGCCTTGTGTCTCCAGCACTTGCCAAGAGCCTTCTTGTTGTGTCTCTAGCATCTGCCAACCCATCTGCTCTGAGCCCAGCCCCTGCTCAGCAAGTATATGTGTGCCCAGTCCATGCCAACCTACCTGCTATGTAGTCAAGCGCTGTCGGTCTGTCTGCTGTGAGCCTGTTTCCTGCCCATCTACCTCCTGCCAACCTTTCTGCTGCCGCCCAGGGTCTTCTGCATCTGCCATCTGCCAGCCAACTTGCTCTCGGACTTTCTACATACCCAGCTCCTGCAAACAGCCTTGCTCTCCTTCGGTTTCTTACCGCCCAATCTGTCGTCCAATCTGTCGTCCAATCTGCTCTGGACCCATTACTTACAGGCAGCCGTATGTGACATCCATCTCCTATCGCCCTGCCTGCTACCGCCCATGCTACTCCATCCTGCGCCGCCCGGCCTGTGTCACTTCACTCTCTTATCGTCCGGTCTGCTCCCACCTGCCTTGTGCTGACTCCTGTAAACGAGCTTGCAAAAAGTCTACTTCCAGCCAACCGGATTGCACTGACTCAACGACCTGCAAGGCTGAGGTCTCAGATGCCAGTCCCTGTCAGCCCACTGAGGCCAAATCCACCAGCCCAGTCACCCGTGAGGCTGAAGCCAGCCCGCCTACTGCCACCAAGCCGGCCGACCACTGATCTGGCCTCAGCCCACTGGTTCCTGCCAAGCAAGTGTCCAGCTAGAGAGCAACCTTGACTGCCCTCCCCAGAGCTCACAATGACTTAGAATTTTTCTGCACCATCACTTGCCATCTTCTTACACTTCAAAAAACTCACCAGAAATTTCAGTATCCTAATGGTCCAAATGCGGGCGCCCTGGGCACTGAGAGGGAGTCATCCTGGGTTCCTGCCCGCTGCTGCTATCAAGCTGAGAAGAGCTGTTTTGCCACAGCATCTCGAGTCTCCTTCCCAGCATTAGTTTTTTTCTGTCCTCATGTCTGTGTTCCCTTGCTGGGTGTGCTCATGTTCCTTGTGGACTTCTTCCATGAGAAAAAGATACTTCACTGTCCAATAAAGTGGCTAAGTTGAAGTGGCATGCCCTTCTCATTGCACTGTTGTTAATGTCATATTCTCATCAGCTAACTTATTTTGTCTTTAACAGCAACTTCATCCATTCATCCATCCATCCTTCCAACAAGCTTTATTAGACAGCTGTTGGCCGGGGACTGTGCTAGGCTGTACGAATGAGAAGTCTTGCTTCAAGGGAGCTCACTGTTGGGGTGGGGATGGGAAAAGACAGATAGGCAGAGAGACAATTACTACATTCTATTATGCTAAGTACTGAGACAGAGGCAGGCATAGGGCAGTTTGAACTCAGCAGGGCATGGGGAAAAATAGGAAAGAATTCTTGGGGAATGTGATATTGAAGCTGGGTCTTTCAGCACAAATAAAAAATAACCAAGGTGAAACCAGAAAGAAAGAGCTTTCCAGGCAGAGGAAACATACACATGAATAGGGCTTGTGAGCACACCATTCATTAGTGAGGCTTGGACAGAGGTGTGCTTAGAGGCATGGTGAACACTAAGGTCAGTTAAGTAGAGAGTGACCTGCACTCATTGGGCCTTGTAATCTAGACAGAAGCATTTGTTTTGGTGCAGGGTTGACATGGAGGCACTGGGGGGCCATGTGCAGAGCAGTGACATGAAGAACACTCTGTTTTGGAATGTCCCTCTGGCTCCTCTGGTGTGGAGGAGCATAGACTTGGATATAGGGAAACTGGGGAGCAAGCCAATGACTCAGGGGCTCACAGTATATGTATGGGAAGTCACACATACAATAAGGAAGACAACCTGGATTTTTTTGTTCAAGAGCTTTATTTATAGTCTCTTAGTGTTTGGAAGGCACAATCCTTGTGTAAACTCCATACACACCCTCTTACAATCCTAAGGACCAAGTCTCTTCAGAGTAGTCACTTAGGGCACAGAATCAAGGGCTCTCTCTAGTCCTCAAGGTACATCTTGGGCTAATGTAAGTACAAGAAGGGGTAGTTCAGGGTTTCTCAACTTCAGTGCTATTGACATTTTGGGCTAAATAATTCTTTCTTGTGGGGACCATCCTTCACATTGTAGGATATTAAGCAGCATCCCTGGCCTTCACCAACTAAATGCTGGTAGTATCCCCTGAACATGATGACCAAAAATGTCTCCAAACATTGGCCAACACCCCTGGGGATGAGGGGCAAAAATCATCCCTGTTTGAGAACCACTGGTGAGACAGCAGCAGAGGGAGAATCTCAAAGGTGGAACTTATCCTGTGTGTTGCTGTTGGGGTTACTGTCTCAACAAGCTATTGGGATTTATCTTCATCTCCTTCCAGAGTCAAGAGAGGAGTTGGCCAGGGTTTTAAAAATTTCTGTCCCAAGCACAGACCCAGTGTAAATCATAGCAATTCTGTGAAATAAGATGCCTTATTTTATAAGATGAAGAATATGAGTGGCAAACAATCCAAGGGCCCATCAGTAGAGACAAGAACATTGTGGTGTATTCACACAATAAATACTATGCTGCAATGAAAACTGGACAATGGCCATATGCAAAACAGGGGTGAACCTGATCAGTGAAGAGTTGATACAAACAAGCCTCCAGACCATATATATGTTTAAAGCTCAAAAACAACACAAACATACATGCACATACACACGTTCAAGTATACCCTCATGTATGCATATGCACATGTATACATACATACACATATATACCTTATGTCTATTCACAGGGGAATGCTAAACACAAAATTCAGGACAGCCACAGCTAGTAAGTAACATACAAGAGTACACACAAAGTAAATGTGTGTAACATACAAATGACATACAGAACATATGCCTCAGTCCAAAGTTTGTGTTTTTTATGCATCACAAAGTCTCTTTTTAAAAATTTTTATTTAATTTATTTTTAAAATTTATATCCAAGTTAGTTAGCATATAGTGCAACAATGATTTCAGGAGTAGATTCCTTATTGCCCTTACCCATTTAGCCAACCCCCAATCCCTTCAGTAACCCTCTGTTCTCCCTATTTAAGAGTCTTATGTTTTTGTCTCCCTCACTGTTTTTTTTTTTTATTATTTTTGCTTCCCTTCCCTTATGTTCATCTGTTTTGTATCTTAAAGTCCTCATATGAGTGAAGTCATATGATATTTGTCTTTCTCTGACTGACTAATTTCACTTAGCATAACACTCGCTAGTTCCATCCATGAAGTTGTAAATGGCAAGATTTCATTCTTTTTGATTGCTGAGTAATACTCCATTGTATATATATACCACATCTTCTTTATCCATTCATCCATCAATGGACATTTGGGCTCTATCCATACTTGGTCTATTGTTGATAGCGCTGTTATAAACATTGGGGTGCACATGTCCCTTCAAAACAGCAGGTATCTCTTGGACAAATACCTAGTAGTACAATTGCTGGGTTGTAGGGTAATTCTAGTTTTAATTTTTTGAGGAACCTCCATATTGTTTTCCAGAGTGGCTGCACCAGTTTGCATTCTCACCAGCAGTGCAAAAGAGATCCTCTTTCTCTGCATCCTCGCCAACATGTGTTGTTGCCTGAGTTGTTCATGTTAGCCATTCTGATGGGTGTGAAGTGGTATTTCATTGTGGTTTTGGTTTGTATTTCCCTGATGATGACTGACATTGAGAATTGTTTCATGTGTCTGTTGGCCATCTGGATGTCTTCTTTGGAGAAGTCTTTATGTCTTTAGCGCATTTTTTCACTGGATTATTTATTTTTTGGGTGTTGAGTTTGATAAGTTCTTTATAGATTTTGGATACTAATCCTTTATCTGATATATTGTTTGCAAATGTCTTCTCCCATTCAATAAGTTGCCTTTTAGTTTTGCTGATTGTTTCCTTTGCCATGCAGAAGCTTTTTATTTTGATGAGGTTCCAGTAGTTCATTTTTGCTTTTGTTTCCCTTGCCTCTGTAGACAAATGTTGAGTAAGAAGTTGCTGCAGCAAAGGTCAAAGAAGTTTTTGCCTGCTTTCTCCTCGAGGATTTTGACGGCTTCCTGTCTTACATTTAGGTCTTTCATTCATTTTGAGTTTATTTTTGTGTATGGTGTAAGAAAGTGGTCCAGGTTCATTTTTCTTATGCATCACCATGTCTCTTGATGTCATCACAATGGCCTTTGTAATACACTCAATGTCTTTAGTGCCTTGAACCATAGCAAAGTGAAAGGTATCCCTATTGAGAGATTTTTTTGGTCTTTACTGAGATATAATTGACAATATTGCAGGTTATTTAAAGTATACACTGTGATGATTTGATATACACATATATCATGAAAAGATTCCTTCTTTATGTGGAAACTAATTTGACAATAAACTATTTGTAAAAAAAAAAAAAAAGATTCCTTCTATCTAATCAAATAACACATCCATCACCTCATATTTCTGAGGATGTGAGAACATTTAAGTTTTCTTAGCAAATTTCAATTGTATAATACAGTGTTATTAACTAGAGTCACCATGTTACACATTAGATCCTATAATCTTATTCATCTTATAGCTGAAAGTCTGTACCCTGTATCAGCCTACTGAGAAGTTCCTTTAGGAGGAAGAAAGGCAAGAACAGAATCAGAGAAAAATGGATATTAAAATGGATTACCTTAAAAACAATAAAAGTGGTACGTATGAGCACAGGACATTGGTGCCTTTTTCAGATTGAAGTTGACATGGTTTCTCACATATATTCATGTTCCCATTACAACTGACCTATTTGGTAAGACAGAAGTATTTTTCCTGAGAGATGGAGCTTTGGGATGTAGACATTCAGGAATAAAACAATGCAGTGATCTTTGCTGTTTGAAAGGTGCCAAAATGATTAGTGGTGAGTTGGATGGTAAAAGGAGTAATCGGTGCTGTAACACAAAATGCACTGGTTTAAAAAATAAAGCCATTTTAATGATAAGGGTGAGAATTTCCCAGGCATCATTCTGATCAGAAAAATTTATCTTCCTTTTAAAATAGGGTGAGGAGGAGGGTGTCAAGGATAAGGTGTTCTTTAGCTGGTACTTTGAAAAGTACTTTCCACAATTCCCAATGTTTTCAATAATGGCGAGGCAGCTAATAAGAATAAAAATAATGTGGTGTTCCTGGGTGGCTCAGTCTGCGTCCGACTTCAGTTCAGGTCATGATCTCATGGTTTGTGAGTTCGAGTCCTGCTTCGGGCTCTGTGCTGACAGTGGGGAGCCTGCTTGGGATTCTCTCTCCTTCTTTCTCTCTGCCCCTCCCCCACTTGCTCTCTCAAAATAAATAATAAATAGACTAAAAAAAGAGTAAAAATAACTTGAGCAACAGCAGTGCAGTTAGCTGGTAAACTCTTGGTACTTTGCACACTTGGGTAATGAGCCTTCTTGTCCCACAAAATGTGTTAGTAGCAGAGCCCAAAAATGAAACTCTACCCTGTTGGTATCCCAAGGCCATGATCTTTCTATTCTGTCATGAATCTCTGGTGTGAACCAGGTCAGGACAGGGACTGGTATGGGATGCTGAAGTTGGCTGGTAATGCAGAGCCATGACAAATCCAGAGAAAGAGGGGAAGAATCAGTACAGCCAGTACCTCATAAGTCCCTCTTGGAAGAGGCTGATTTAATCCTTGATGAAATACTTTGCAGTTATTAAAATTTCCAAATTAAAAGACTGTCTTTGGGTGTATGGATAAGTAGAGGTACTCATACCAGTTTAATCTAGCTGATGACTCTAGTCACTGGAATGGGCAAATGGTGTCCAGCATAGGGCTTGGCCATCTGCCCACCAGCCAGTGCACTGATGTACTAAAGTCAGTCTTCAATCACTATATTACAGTCTTTCTCCTCTACTCCAAAGTCGGGAGGTCTAATAGGTGATTATGATCAGAGGTTTTGGGGGTCAGTCCAACTAGGTTTGGATCTTGTTTCAACTCTTATTACTTGCCTATTTTGGGGAGCAAGATTTAAACTCTCTGAGTTAGTTTTGCTACCTCTAAGACAGCAGTGAGAATTGCAGCTACTAACTAGGACCATTGCAAAGATTCAATGAAAAATGCAGTTGAGGGCTTGGTATACAGTAAGTATGCTATAAATGGAATCCATTAGTATTATTAGTATTGGTAGTATTAATAAAGTTGGGTTTCAGGAAAGCTAAATGGGAAAGTTCTAGAAGGAGATGGAGACACTGAAGTGTCCTTGGCATGTATTGCCTGATTTTTTGTTCACCATCTCAGACATCGCCCTCTTTCAACTGGGTCAAGGCTTCATTTCCTGATTGTCTAAATGGTGCAGAACTGCATTCCTGGTGGAAGAGCAGGTTGCTTTGGCTGGGCTGAGGCCTTCTGATGAGAGGTTAGTACAGGGAAAGGCCTGCTTCAGGGAGGCTAGAGAGCAACCTGTAAAAAAGACAGCTCATTCCAGAGCAGGAGCAGCATCAAGGAATGCAAACTCGGCAAAGAAAACTCTCAACTCAACAGACAAGTTTTTAAAGTGGGGACAATATCTTCCAGGCTCCTGAAGCCTGCTAATCAGATGTTTATATGCAAATGAGTAGAAACAATAACAAGGAAAGATGCTCTAAGTCATACCAACATCCCTGAAGGACTATAAAAGCCCCTGTATATGAGATATCTTTCATACCCAGGTATACCGAGTTTGCAACTTCCTAGCGAGCTTAACACCAGCACCATGGTGGACAGCTGCTGTTCTGGAACCACCACGGCCATTCCAGCTGTGCCCACCTTCATGTGCTCAAGTGGTGGCAGCTTCCGAAATGGTATCTGTTTGCCTAGCTCCTGCCGGAGCAGAACTTGGCAGCTGGTCACATGCCAAGAAAACTGTCAGCCATCCAGCAGTGCTCCAAGTGGCTGTGAACCTGCTTCCTGCCAACCTACCTGCCTTCCAGCAACTTCTTGTGTTGGTTTTGTCTGCCAACCCATTTGCTCCCGCACAGCCTGCTATGAATCTGGCACTGGTCAGTCTCCTTGTCTGGCTGGCTCATGCCAACCCTCCTGCTCGGAACCCACCAGTTGTCAGACAAATTGCTGTGAAGCCATCCTCGACCAGCAAAGCTCCTGCCAAGAACCTGTCCTTGTGTCCAGATCAGCTTGTGGCCAATCGGTCTGCTGTGATGCTAGGTCCCACCAGCCATCCTCCTTTGAGGTAAATTCCTGTGCTGAAAATTCTTGCCCACCAATTGTCTGCACAGCTAGTCCATGTCAGCTGACTTGCTGCCAACTAGGTTCATGTCAACCCATCAATGGTGAAGATCAGCTCTGCAGATCGACTTATTACCAACCCATCTGCTACATTTTCAAGACTTGCCAGTTGGTTCCCTGTATGCCTGTTCCCTGCCAGCCATCAACTTGTATGTTCAGTTCTTGCAATCCTACATGCTACGTATCATCCCCTTGCTGGTCGCTTCCCTGCCAATCAGCTCCTTCCATATCCTTCATCTGCCAGCCAGTGGCTAACTGCCAGCCCCCATGTTCTGTAAAGAACTCTTGCAAACAAGTTTCCTGTGGCACCGTGCTTTCCAGCCAACCAGCTTGGGATGGATCTACTTCCTGCAACCAAGGGGGCTGCACACCCCCTTCCTGCCAACCACCTTGCTGTGTAACAGGTTTAGGCAAATCATCCAATGGTGGCTGCAATGGCTTGTGACCAACTGCCCCAACTCTCTGCAAAGCTAGCACCTGCTTGCCAGCTTCCTGCCAACCCAGCTGAGTCCAGCATCTGTAAGGCAGTGCTTCATTGATGGAGCACCCTTCACAGCTCCTCTGAGGTCTGCCACTGTCTACAAGCGCATAGCTACCCTATGGTGCCTTCCTCCTGTGGAGCTCAAATGCTATCTGTGTGCTAACTTCATTCTGAGTCCCACATTCTCTCCAGGTGCTGACGAGGGGAATTGTTCAGACACTAAGAGATATTTCTTCACCAAGGAAGACCTTTCAGCAGGAATGGTCCTCTCTTCAGCTTGCATTTCCTCATGTTGTCAATTCATTTCACCTCAGCAAAGCCTTCTCTCTCTCGCCAGTATTTCTTTCTTTTGATGTTGCCAGGTCTTTAAAAAGACTCCTTTGCTGCCGACTACAATAAAAACGTGAGTGGTGAACAATAATGAATAAATCTCTCAGAATGTTTTCTTTTCTTTTAGTACAGCCCTACATAGATTTCTTTCAGGCCACATTTGAACATGATGACCTTGGGCCCTCTAAGTAAGTAGTTCACCTTGGTCTGCAAGAGTGGTTGGTGTCTGCAATTAAAGATGCTCAATCTGGAAAGGAGAAAGTGCAAACAATCTCCTGGCTTCCAACCTTTATGCTAGCAAAAGCTCTTTTGAGTTGAGTGGCCTCCGTTTCCCCACAGTGAACAGACTTGGGAAGCCAAAGACAGAAATGGTCCAGGGAAGCCATGGGTTAAAATAAACATAGGTTTCGGGCATTGACAATAGCTAAGGGCTAATTCCTTAAAACTGGTTTTAATGATCAGTTCACCTAATGGCCAATTTAATAAAATGTAAAATTAGAAATTTTTGATTGTTGGTTTGCTTATGTTTTTGATATTTTAAGAGGCAGTTTTTTTTAAAGTCTTGATTTATTTTTGAGAGAGAGACAGAGTGTGAGCAGGGGAGAAGCAGAGAGAGAGGGAGACACAGAATCTGAAGCAGGCTCCAGGCTCTGAGCTGTCAGCACAGAGGCTGACACAGGGCCTGAACTCACAAACCATGGGATCACAACCTGAGCTAAAGTCAGACACTCAACCAACTGAGCCACCCAGATGCCCCTAAGAGGCAGTTTTAAAAACAGTTAGTCTAAGGTAACATCTGACTGAGTATTCCTCGTATGTAATTATCAAATCTAAACATTTGAAAAATGGTTGGATTGGTTTTCTTTTAGAGAAAGATTAGAGGGTGGTTTGCAGAGTGTATCTGTAGCAATGATACAAAGTCCTTCTGCAAGGGGATCTGGCCTCCCCTCTCAACAAAGGCTCTGGGTCTGTGAAATGAATTTAGGTCTGAAACTCAAAACATTCTTACACAGGTCCATGAGGGAACACATGTGCCAGTGCTCACTGTGACATTTCTGTGAGTATATAGGGTTTTTTGTTTGTTTGTTTTTTTATTTCTGAGAGAGAGAGAGAGAGAGAGAGAGAGAGACAGCGTGAGCAGGGAAGGGACAGAGAGAGAGGGAGACACAGAATCTGAAACAGGCTCCAGGCTCTGAGGAAGCCGTCAGCACAGAGATGGATGCGGGGCTCGAATCCATGAACCGTGAGATCATGACCTGAGCTGAAGTCGGACACTTAACCAACTGAGCCACCCAGGTGCCTCTAGGTTTTAAAGGAATCTGTGTCCCCCACTTGGAGAGTGGGAAGGCTTAATAAGTAATTCCTTCTGTGAGGTGTTGTCTTGGTCTGGTTCTCCAGAGAAGCAGAGCCAATACTATATACACAAAGAGATGTAATACGTGGAATTTTCTCACGTGATTTTGGAGACTGGTATGTCCAAATCTGTATTGTGGGCCAGCAGGCTAGAGATCAAGGAGAGCCGACAGTGGAGATGAAGTCTGAAGGCTATTTGCTGGAAAATATGCTTCAAACAGAATAAAATAGCTGCCTATAGGAAGATAAATGGCATAAGGAGAACAGGAATTGAATTAATTTATATATAAGTAAGTGAAGAAAAAATAGGACAGAGGCCTTGCAAGGACAAAAAATGATTATGTGCCATAAGGAATATAATTAACTCAGTTATTTGCAACTGAAGTCCAAAAAGGAAATTAAAAACAGGAAGAAGAGACGGACCTTGATACTACAAAAGAATTACCATAGATGGAATATCTTCTAGAAATGACATTTTGATGGATACCCCATTTAAGTTCTCTCTCGCACATCTTCCATGGAGATTTCAGTGATGCCACAGGAAGCAGGAGGCTCTGGAAAGTGTGATGCCTCTTACCTCAGTCCTGGACAGAATTGTCAACAATATTTCTTATGCTGTAAGTTTAAGGAATTATATCTCCTTAAGCAAGTTGCTTACTAATACCAGAATTCTTGACACAGCTGGAATTTCAAATTTCATTTTGCAATAGTTTTTGACCCATCTAAATGTATGTTATTCTTTTTATCTCCCCAATTGTGGATTTCTCTGTTGTATTGGCAAGTGGTTTAAACTGGCCACCTGCCAACAGGCAAACTGCACATTTTCAACCCGGCAAGTGTAAAAGGTGCCTTGGAAAACAGTGTTATCTCTTCCTACACTTGGCAAGAGTTTAAATAACTGAGCATTTATTAGCTCCTTTTAGGTTTGCTAGAACTTGTCCATAAAACATCTGAACCTCTTATTATAAACATTGTTCTGCCAAGCCTGAACATGCTTAAAACTAAACCTTTATTTTCATTTACGTCCTAAATAGGAGAGCAAAACACAGGGAAGTTTTGAGAAAAATATTACAAACAACCACCACTCAGACATTTTCTTATATCTACTTTGGATCTTCAAAAAACAAACAAACAAACCACCCGTAATTGAAAAAAGACATTATTGATAAAGTTGAAGTCCCTTTTGTACCCTTTTCCAGCTCCAAAACATATTCTTCCCCACTCAGATACAACCTTGTGTACACTGTGAGGTACTGTATATATAAAAATATAAAAATGACTAGTATTTATGAAATATTTAGACAATATATAGTTGTAGGGTTTGGAAATTTAAGAATTTATGTATGCTATGTAAAATTACACCATTTACTTTTCTCCTTCACTACTTCTTTTAAGAATGACATTTTTTATCAAGAATTAGATTTACTAGGGGCGCCTGGGTGGCTTAGTCGGTTAAGCGTCCGGCTTTCGCTTGGGTTATGATCTCGCGGTTCGTGGGTTCGAGCCCCGCGTCGGGCTCTGTGCTGACTGCCGGCTCAGAGCCTGGAGCCTGTTTCAGTCTGTGACTCCCTCTCTCTCTGACCCTCCCCTGCTCACGCTGTCTCTCTCTCTCTCCTAGAAATATATAAAACATTAAAAAAAATAAAAAAAAGAATTAGATTTACTAATTATTAAGAATTTAGAATAATAATGTTTTATTGCATTTTGATACATGATCTGTTTCATTATGGTAGTTATTGCTGTGTAACAAATGACCCCAAAAGTTAGTGGCTGAGAACAATGGACATTGATTATCTCGCTGCCTCTGTGATTTAGAAATCCAGGTGTGGCTTAGCTAGGCTCAAGTTCTCTTATGAGGCAGTTGCTGAGGTGTTGGCTGGGGCTGCAGTCCTTTCAGGGCTTGGCTAGGGAAGGATGCACTTCCAAGCTCACTCATGTGGCTGTTGGCCAGAGATATCACTTCCTTGCCACATGGGCTTCTCCATACACTGGCTGATAGACCTCATGGCCTAACAGCTGGATTCTCCCAGAGCAAGTGGTCCAAGAGGGAGACAATGAGCACATGATATGAAAGTCATAGATCCTTTATAGCCTCATATTGGAAATGACATCCCACCACATTCATGGTACTCTATTCATTAGAGGCAAGTCAGGAAATCCAGCCCACACTCAAGTGAAAGGAATTACACAAAGGCATGAATACCAGGAGGTGGGGATAATTGGAAGTCATCTTAAAGGCTATCTACTGCATTCTGCTTTTTAGTCCCCTAGTGATTCACATACTAAATGCATTCACTCCCTCCTAGAGTCCTCTCAAATCTCATCTTATTATAACCATAAGCTCAAAGTCCATAATCTCATCACTGAAATCAGACCCAAGTGTGGATGAATCTCCTTGGGCATGACTCCTTAAGTGCAGCTCCAAAGTACAGTTCTTCTAGATTTGTAGACCTTGTGAAAGGGAAAGATATAATTTATCCAAAAGGTAGGGTAATGGCGGTAAATCTGATGGTGTGAACTTCAAAGCAGCTAAAGTTTTTGAAGGAGGAAAGAGAAGAATGACATTAGTGGCAAAGCTGCTTTGAGATGTAGGTTTTCTATTCTGACTGGTGCCTTGGTCAAAATTCAAGACAATGATGCTTGGATATCACTGACTTCATCAAATCTTTACAGCTTAAGGAATCTTGCCAATCAGTTGGCCAGATTATCCATTTATTTACACACTCTGTGACAGTCCTATTACTTTTATTTGAATCTATGTTTGTTTGACCACCTCCCAAAGAAACTCCGTTTCTCTGAGTGGCTCTAAGAGTGAGTTTTCACTTATTTTTGCCTAAATTAATATTTAGAGCTCCCAAGATTGGTCTTATTCCTTGATTCTATAAGGCCAACAGAAAATATGTCTTCTGTAGACAGATATTTCCATATTCAGGTACACTAGGGGCATTCCTTTCTCCCAAAGATCTTTTCTCTGGGATAATTATAACCAGATACCTCCATTCTTCATGATGTGATTGGAATTCCGGTTCCATTCCCAGGATAGTTGCTCTCTTCAAAACATTTTTCAATTATCCAATATTCCTTTAAAAAGGGCATGATCATAACCTAAGTCAAGATCTAGTTATTTTATAACCTGCCCAGTATGTGGAGAAACCACCTGGCTCTTTTGAAGATAGTCTGTATTTCCCCTGGATCATGTCTGCCTGGTGATGTCATTAAATACTATTCTCTAAGTTAGATATCTCAGCCCCTGCCAGGAAATTTTCTGGGATTTGAATGAG